GGCGGATGGTCGGCGAGGGGGAGTTAGCATAGAGCTGCTTTGCCCGGCAGTCGGCGGCATCGGGGATCGATGTCTGGAGTGGGTATGGAGATGACCGGTACCGAGAGTCGTGATATCGGTGACCGATGAGGAGTATGAAGATCACTTGAGGTCCTCGCAAACGATTTTGCTTGGACTGTTGCGCCTCGTGTTCGACACAGGCATGAATGAGTTGTTGAATTACCTACGTGTGAGATACACGTAGAGACGATTGACGGATTTGTTTGAGATTGCTGATTGATTTTAACGATGATTGATTTGATTGATATTTCTCGTCGCTTGTATATTATAGTATTGACTATATTGCTTGGCCGTTTTCAATAAAAATAGAAATCTCGGGTTACACCCGAATTCCTCCCTAAGCACATAGCTTAGGACGTTGTTACGCAACGTTTCAGGTCGTGAGCAACAATAGTGACTGAGGCAGACGTGGGTTCCGGTGACAATTGGACTATCCAGATCATGTATAATTATTTTGTCATACTTTATTTTTTTAAAATAAAGAGTGGTGATCTTTAGACTCTTGTATTATACAATTCACCATTCGTACTATATACTGATATCTTCAAGTACGTGTACAAATGTATTTCTGTATTTTATAATGTCTTCCGCTGTATTATAATTAAAATGAATGTTTTAATCTTCCCGCGATTTTACATTTCGAAATTTTTCAATCGTGATTTTATTTATCCACGTGGCACAAGCGTAAGCGGGATGCGGGTGTGACAATGTATATGTTAATTCTATATTTCCTCATATATATATATATATATATATATATGGTTTGGTTTGGAAAAAAAAGTGTTTGAGAGGGTTACCCGATATATGGTGAAGAGATATGATAAAGAAGACGAACAATGCAGCTCTCAGGTTATGTTTTCTTGACGAAAGCATTTTTTTTCCACTTGTTGCTGCAGCGAAACCAAAGAGAGAGGATAAATTTTTTATTGATGTTGAGTATGTTTTGAAATATTGCCACTTGTGTATTGATTATATAGTGAATAAACTGTCTTGTTAAAATAGGCAAATAAATATGTGAAATATTGTATATCTGATTTGCTTCCATTGTATCTATATTTCATTTTTATTCTTTTGTATATCTGATTTGCTTCCATTGTATCTATATTGTAAGATATGATGGAAAATAATAATGGACACAATATTATCATATCAACTATTGTATATCTGATTTGTTTATTTAATGATTATTATGGTAAGATTCAGATAGATTTGGAATATCGTGACTCCTATATTTAAGGAGCTGGCTATATTCTAACAATAGCATGCATGCAATGAAGATTATTGTGGTTATATATAGAGAGATATGGAGAATATTATTTATTATTATCAAGAATCTGCTAAAATGATTATCTGGATCTTTGTACATTTACAGTATAATATTGAATGAAGATTTATAAAAAATAATAATAATGTTGATGAATTGGAGAAAAAGACTTCGAAGCCTGTCGTCGGAGGAAAAAACATAAATTTCTGCATTTCTTAAATGATAGGAGAAAAAGACTTAGAATTAATTTTTTTTTTATCTATATATATATATATATTGATTGTAAGATTTAACTCTGTCTGGGAATTCATATTCCAATTAACAAAAAAATGTTGAATCTTCCAACAAGACATACCGTTTTCTCGATTATTTCCAATTGAAGACGGTGGAACGAGGAACACAACACAAGAATTGTCTTTTTTTTTTTCATAATGAACAAACAAAAGGGAAATTATGAAAAGAAAAAAAAAAGACGCGCAATGTTCGAAGCTTCGGTTTATGTTCTGTCTTCGCCACCCGACAGGAAGCCATTCTCGTATCCTTTGAAACGCCTCGTCTATGACTTCAGTCATAGAGACCTTCTTGTTCCCAAATGTCCACCAAGAAATCCACCATCTCCTGTTTCCATTTATATGATCAAAGACAAAATGACATACATCTCGTCATTTTTTGATAAGGGAGGCCATGGAAACTTACAGAGAGAGGGACGGCTTGCGGAAATGGCTTGTTGCTCCCGAGCAAGCTGTCGTACGATGCGTTCCAACTGCAAAGCCGGAATATGTTTAGCCATTTTTCTGAGACCCGAGATTTAAGCGGAGATGGAAGTTTTGCACGAATTCAGAGATTAGCCGGGCCAAACGGAAAACGGCTGACGCCATGGTTATACAAGAAAAGAACGCATAAGCTCTAATCATGAGATGATCATCCTGATGCCTGTGAAATGTCTACAGATACAGTCACCTTATGATTCCGTTTTAATTATAGCTTTAGAGAAGAAAGGAGGAGCAATGGTTCAACTCACTTTAATTTAGGTTCTTGATTGTGATTCAGCGGGTTATCGGGTCTTTTCTTCCCCACCCAATGCTCCCGAGTTTGATTCCAGAGTCTAAGACCTGCAGCCACATGAGATATATACAAGATGGACCAAACAGGACTTTGTAAACCCATCACAAATGCGAGGGCATGCAGTTCCAAGCAAAAAAACAAGACAAGGGATAAGCCAATTGGCTACATGCTGAACCATATATCTCCTTCTGAGGTTTCGGGTATATGCTAAGCTGATCACAAATCCATAACATGAAACCGAGCGGAATGTGCAAATAAAAGCCAAAAAAGTAAAGTACCGTGATTCACGAACTCGGTAGGAGCATTTGAATTTCTGGAACCAGCTTGAGAATCAGCAAAGTTATGGTTGGATGTGCCGATTGATGAAATGCTCCCTTGTGACGGAAACGTGCTGTTGTCCATATCGAACGTGCTCGTCGACCAGAAATCTTCCGACCCACTTGGTTTCTTGACTGTTCGAACTATAGGTTCTCTTGATGCGATTGCTGGCTCGTTCAGAGCGGGATTCGAACCGGGAGCTTTATAACATGCCACGCAGCCACTGCTCTGTTACAAAACCATACTCTGATCAATAATGCAGCATATATTAGATTGATCCAAAAACGAGATAATCTCATTCAAGTTCAGACGAATGTGATTTATTTATGCCACCAGATTCAAAAGCAAAAGCTCTCGGCCAATCCTAAAATTTGTAGTTTCATAAGCACATTACACAGATATGCTATAGCTTCCAAAGCATATGGCTACACACATAGGCATTCTGTAGCTATCCATACATACAACATCAGCGCAGAGCAAATAACCTTGAAATCTTTTTTTTCTTTCTGAAAGCGTGTTTACCCAACAATGAAACTAGGGTTTATCTATCGTTGAACCCAAAAGCGCAATCGGAAGAATCTATGTATTAGTATCAAAATCGATATTAACGAAACGACAGAACCATTGATGAATTGAAACACGCATATGCTTCAGATAGAAAAGCGAATCGAAAGAAAGAGAAGAGATAATCCCACCCCATCGGTGCAATGAACCCAGAAGCTCCGACAGATCTCGAAGGCTCGAGATATTCCGAGGAAACAAATCCTACAGGTTCAAAAAGCAACGAGAAAGAATCAATCGATAGATAAATATACACATAAAATTACAAACTTGAAATGGATCGAAGAAGAAGAAGAAGAAGAAAGCGGAATCCAGGAATCTCTCGACTTGCCCGATGATTCTTGTCCTCGGGTTCAACCAAATTTGCTTCCTTTTTCAATTGGGTATCGAGAAAATCATATTTCTTTTCTAAAATTGAAAAATTCGAGGCTACAACCCTCTGATCACACGCAGTTGCAGGAGCCAGAAGGGTTGGCCTTTACGTTTGTTTTTTCCTCTTTAGTTTATTTTTATTGGAAAACAGGAGGGATTCTTCCTTCCCGCAGCCGTTATACGGCTGCCGTCGCCGTGAGGATATTGTCGTAAATTGCATAGTTTTTTTTTTAAAAATTTAATTTAATACCAATTATTTTTTTATTGAAAACAGGGAGGGATTTTTCCTTCCCGCAGCCGTTATACGGCTGCCGTCGCCGTGAGGATATTGTCGTAAATTGCATAGTTTTTTTTTTAAAAATTTAATTTAATACCAATTATTTCTCCTAATTTTTGTGCTCACCGTTCGTGTTTGGTGTTTACCGTATAAACTATAATCGGCCAATTTGGTTTATTATCATATTTTTGGTTGAGTTGGTAATCGAATTCTGTCAATGACGATATCATCCATTAAACAATATATATTTCTATACTGAATTGATATAATTTGTAACGAATAAATTTAAATAAAAGTTCACTTTGATTAATTTATTTGTAAAATTATTTATCGTAGCTATGGCTTGATTCATACATAGCCACTTCCCATTGTGGTTCTGTCTCTGTCCGGATATTAAGGAATAATTAAACGAGCGCTTATCCACAAATGAACATCTTAGCCTCATCCGACAAAAGATTTCATGAATATAGTTTAGAAAAAAAAAAGGATTTCATTAAATAATATACAAAAACTATATATTTTGGATGATCATACGTTATCCCGAATCTATAGAAATACGCGGCTTTCTTACCGAATATTTGTTATGGTTGCCATTAAAATGAGGTATGAAGGCCATTTAGATGTAACTGGGTAAGGCCCAATTGTAATGATTTGGGCTACTCTAAGATGTTAATGGGCATAGAAAGCCCAATCAAATTGCCCATACGTATTATCCTATGCGTAGCGTGTATACGTACGAAATTTCCAATTTGTATTGCGTTAGTTTTCGAGCCTATTAAATAATTTTAAACACAAATGCATTATGCCCTAAACCCAATTAATCTCAAGAGTTCGGAAAACCCATATGTCTAAGCTCGTATCCAAATTAAGACCTTATAATTATAAAAAAAAGTTATAAACGGAACCGATCAAGTCAACTGTCTTGAATATATATATTTTTTTGTAAGTTTGTTCATATGCCAAAACTTTAATCCGTTATTGAATATATATGATCCATTTAAGCTATAAATTTTTATAAATAATCGTGCAAATCGATATATAATATTTGGCAAAGTTTTTTTCGGCTAACATTTGTCGAATATCTTAGAAATTCTCTATATACATAATCGAACTTTTTACACGAATTAATGAAGAGATGGTCACCAGAGTGGGTCCCACGGCAGCAACCATTGATCATTCCAATCCCCTAACGTAAATTTACCCTTCCCGTTTCCAAGGTTTCCGAATTTGATGCATGTGTTAGGGTGATCTCTGAACCATTATGATGATCCAATAGTTTTTTTTTTAATACTTAACTTTTTTTTGCAAAACATTATAAATATGTCAAATCCGAAATATTAGCTCGTTATTATATACCTGTGGAAGTTGGCAAAACAATATCGGATATATTTTGTTTTAAAATTTTCAAAATGTTTCATACATATATATATGCGTTGATAGTCATCATGCACTTATAAGGACTATTTATGGCAAATTACACCCCAATTTTTTTAACGCTTTGAAGTCATCGGAATCTGGTAATGATGAGTAGTCAACATTGTAAGATACCCATATCTATAGCAAGTTGTATGTATGTATGTATGTATGTATGTATGTATGTATGTATGTATGTATGTATGTATGTATGTATGTATGTATGTATGTATGTATGTATGTATGTATGTATGTATGTATGTATGTATGTATGTATGTATGTATGTATGTATGTATGTATGTATGTATGTATGTATGACTTAGAAGGGGAAAAAAAGGTGATGGTGTGTATGGTAGACGCTATGGGAATGCACTTAAAGACAGTAATAGACGCATTGATGATGATAATATACTCAAAGCCATGAAAGAGAAGATTGCTTTTGGACTGTAATGTATTATGATTTTAAATTTCTATGGCTATATTTAATAGTTTTAAATAGTTAGTTAGTTTATTATCATGTTGGAATTAAAATTCATGTATTCTTTAAAATGAAATATATATATTTGTGTGTGTATATATATGCAGGAGCTTTCGTGTAAGGGGATTAAATCTGTAACCATTGGGGATTAAATTCAATCCTCTCCAACACTATCATTTTGCTCTAAATTTATTTTCTATCTCTCCCTACAAATTCGGTGGCTAACTATGTATGCAATGGGCAACCACTTTTTCCGACGTTAATTTCTTTTCTGTATTCTTTTTTTTTTACCAAATAATATTTTAATCCAAATATGCAGAACCATATATATGATATAACGATTATATAAACGATAACAAACTTCAAGGGTTGGACCGATTAATCAATACCATATTAAAGGGGGCAAATACTTACATACATATACACATGTAGAACGACGTCTGCAAATGAGAAGACGCACTCTGTGTATATATATATATATATAAGCCAACCATATATATAACATATGAACGAAGATTTGATAACTCTATGCTATTATAATAATACATACCAACAATTCCTAACAATATTTGGACCTGAAGAAAGGGAAACATTACTCTCTCTCTTTTTTTCCTGGAAAATTAAAACATTCCGTCTTTCTATTACAATATTGTGCTCAAGGGAATGTTTGTATTAGTTAACCTATATATACCCTTATTGGATATAATTTATGTTGTTTTTTAATGATTGGTAATTAATACCCAATTCCAGTTGTGTACTTTTATATATATGATTACCGGCGATGAAGAACAAGAAAAGTAATTAGCATGTGGAGTTTAACAAATCAAACTCAAGGGAGGGATTAATATCGGAGATGTTCGCCAACGAGGAATCAGTACACAAATCGAAGAGACCCCATACACATATATATAGGATCAGTACACAACGGCCCCCACCCTCTGCAGATTCACATCTTTTTTTATATATATATAATTCGATCATATAATTGTGTGTGTGTGTATATATACATATACATATACATTCCCACATAGTCCAAGTGTAGAAACGGGCATTCTCACTCTGACAAAGTAAGAGGGCAAGAGAAATGGTACAGACGAAGAAGTTCAGAGGTGTCAGGCAACGCCATTGGGGCTCTTGGGTCGCTGAGATTCGTCATCCTCTTTTGTAACTATAACCCTTCTCTCTCTCAGACAACATATGTACATGCATACGTACATGTGTGTGTATATATATATGCACAGAACTTGAAATAAGCTCTCATCTGTACTTTGTTATGGCTTCCTTTCCGACTATAATGTTTCTTTGGTCCATGTATTTTGGCTTTGCGATCATTGAAATTAATTTTGTTTTTTTATGACGAGAGCAGGAAAAGGAGGGTGTGGCTGGGGACATTCGAGACGGCGGAGGAGGCGGCGAGGGCGTACGACGAGGCCGCCGTCCTCATGAGCGGCCGCAACGCCAAGACCAACTTCCCCCTCCCCCTCGACAACATCTCCGGCGAGGGCAAAACCGTCATCTCATCTTCTAATCCCTCCCTCTCCTCCATTCTCAGCGCCAAACTGAGGAAGTGCTGCAAATCTCCATCCCCATCGCTCACGTGCCTCAGGCTCGACAACGAGAACTCCCACATCGGCGTGTGGCAGAAACGCGCCGGCCTCAAGTCAGATTCCAGCTGGGTCATGACGGTGGAGCTCGGTGTTACATTTCGAAGAAGTTTGGTGTGGTTGATGGGCGGCGCCCACCACGTCGGCAGAAGGAGCAGAAGCGTTGGACGAAGAGGAGAAGGTTGCTTTGCAGATGATAGAGGAGCTCCTGAATGGAAATTAAACCCCTTTTTTTTATATTAGGTATATAGTCATGTGTTGATGGTATGTGATGTGGCAGTAATTATACCTTAAGATCCATTTATTTACACATACGTAAGCGCGTTATGTTTTGCCTTTCATTTCATATATATAGAAGCTTCTACATATGTAATGTGTTGTATTAGTGGACCACGAGAATGTTTGAGTTTGTCAAGATCTCAAGCTGCAATTTGTTAATAAATAAAATCTCTTTTAATTTCAGTGCTATAGATCTTATACACCAAGAGTGGTATTTTGTACCACTTGTGTATAAGAATCCTGTTTATTTTGCATCAAATTTGTAATGATTTTAAATTATAATATATCTCTGGCATGAGTTAGTAGTAATCCATTTCATGGAAGACCTTAGATAAAGTTTACAAGTAGTGTGTGTGTATAGACATTGTGGATTTTTAGAGTGTAAAAGTGGTTGCATGTAAATCCGATGCCGAGTTAAGAGTTAGACACATAACATGCATAAGGTAAATGGGTCTTACATTGATTTACATAGAGAAAGTGGATACATAAATACACACACACACACACCAACAACCCCAACTCATGCAATGCATTTTCTTTCCAATTTAGGAAAGCCCATTAAAGCAAACGATTCACAAGAAATGCATTGTGCTCTTGGCTTTCCATTTTGAGCTTTTGGGTACTTTCTAAAAGCGAAATAAAAAAACAAACCATATCGCGCACACGTAATATATATATCAACGTCCTAATTGTGATTTTGGGGGTCAACCATGAAAGTATATATCAACGATTATGACTGCATAACTAAGCTGAAATCATGTTCTTATAATAGTATCCCAAGTCTCTTTGTCGTTTTGTACTTAAAATTTGTACTTGACAGAAAGTATATATATCAACGACGGGTGTTTATATATATATGTATGTATGTATGTATGTATATATGTGAAATTGTTGCCAGATCGGATGTCTAATGGCTGACATATATATTGGAGCGTCATCGTGATGAATGGAATGGGTGTCTTCTCTTAATGATGAGCCGCGATGACTTATTGACTCTCACTTCAATTATATAGTTCTCATCTGAATTAAGTTCTCCAGTGATGTAAATGGAGGATCCAGCGTATGACTCACCCAGCAAATGAACCGTACGATCCTTTCAAGAAATTAGGTCAAAAGTTATCGTTATTTTGGAATGATCTTACATATATATATGCATATCCCATGCATGCATGGATATATGGACGTACGGGTGGATTCTCTAGGGTTTGCGTGATCTTTGATTTCATGAAACACTCGAGCTGAGTGAAAGCATTTTAAACGCACTTTGAGCTTAGCGAGGCCTAAACTCTCTGGGGTGGGTGAGTTGGATGAGAGAAGAAGAAATGGGTGGTGAGCATTTGATGAAGTTAGGCTGCTTTCCCTTTCAATATGTCCTATACTGCCATTGGTGCTCCTTTATTGTTTCTCTATAGAGACTATAGTTGTGGTTGCACAAAAGAGACTTCAAGAGCAAGTACTCAGTCCTTACTTGTTTTGCTGAGAGAGAGAGAGAGAGAGAGAGAGAGAGAGAGAGAGAGCATGTGATGTGGGTTGGAACCAGTTTCGAAGGTACCCGTATAAGAACGGACAAGATTGAAGAGGTGGGGTCTCTAATGCCCTGTAAATTAGTGACAATAACATCTCATGAGCCTAAAGCTAAAGTCTTTGAGCAATGAATGTCACTTTTAGTTAGTCATTATATGGATAGGCCCCATTCCATTCTACACCATATATGCGGCCCCACACCCCCCGAATGTGATCTATGATGCCTTACCATTTGTTAGATGTTGAGAAAGACCATCTTAATTGTTCCACATATTAAATAATCACATGCGTTGTTTTCTGAATACATTTATTAAAAAAAAAAAACTCGTGCCTTTTTTTAATGGCTTATGGAAATGTGTCTGTGTCCATATTGTGAATGAAGAGGGTTTTCATAGATTTCCAAAAAAAAAAATTAAGAGGGTTTTCATATGTCTACCATCTGTATTGTTAATATATATATTTTTAATGGGAAAATTCTAAAATAATACCTGAACTTTTCAATTTTGACAAAATAAAACCTAAACTTTATTTTTTATCAAATAAAACCTGAACTCCATTTTTTAGTCAAAAATAAACCTGAACTTTATAATCTTTGTCATTTTTAACCATATTGCTGATGTGGCATTCCGATATCGTGGCACGTGGACGATGATATGTCAAATACGGTCAAAATGTTGACTTGCCACGTAGGATGTCGGAACGTCACGTCAATAATAGGATTAAAAATGACAAAGATTATAAAGTTCAGATTTATTTTTGACTGAAACATGAAATTTAGGTATTATTTTGGGATATTCCCTTTTTTAATCTATTTGCTTTGAGTTAGTTAATTTATGGCCACGTATAGGTGTATGTGATATTGTTTGTATGTGATAGAAATTCCGTTTCCGTATGGTTAGATTAACGGATTCATTCATCATATTTATACTATACATTACATGGACGATATTATTTATTGCATCAAACTGCAGAAAATGCCGAAAATAACCAAAAAGATGAATAATTTTTTTACCATTGGATTAAAATGTCGAAAATAGTTGTTCATAATTTCAAATAGCTGCGTGATTAGCTTATAATTTTGTTCAGTTATTCAAATAAAATTTTTTAAAATGATTGAGAATTGTTGATATGTAACTTTGGTATCAAATGGATCGGTTAAGCCTCTAATCTCAACCAAAACCAAAAAATAATGATGGGTTAAGTTATCGAGCTGGTTAAAGACAAACCGGAAAGAAAAGAAATCTGCAGCAAACTTTTTTTTCCCTCTCTCAAAAAAACCGATCAGAGGAAGGAATCCAGAAGGAAAATCCCAGAAAATTTCAATGATTCTAGCAGTGTTGTTCGCCAACTCCCAAGGAAACATCTTGATCGAAAGGTATGCCCTTTTCCCCCTATTTCACTCATCACTTTTCTCTGTCTCGAATTCTGCCTTCGATGATATCTATCGCTTTCTGGGTTCCTTGATTTGATCCCTTACGTTGTCGTTCGAATTTAGGGATTCTTCGGATTTACTCCGAAATCGATCAGCTCTAGACTTGGGTTTATTGATTTCGATACGGATCTAGACGCTTGTTAGCCTATCTGATTAGGAAGCAGTTGATAATTTCTCCGTTGTTTCATCCCAGATCAAGGCGAAATCGTAAACTTTAACGAATCGAGACTTCGCCCTCGTGCTATATTGAGTGGTTGATTCTCGCAATGAATTCTAAGTAATGTAAATGGAGGGACTTCTGCTTTTGATACTCCAACAGGGGCACAAGTGTAGATTGTGTAATGTTTCTGATTCAGTGAGGCGTATTTCTTGTCGAGTTTTAGCATAAACTCTGAAGTGAAACACGCATTATCTCACAGTGAAGAAATTTCTGTAGATTTAATGGCGTCCCAGCTGAGGAGCGGCTTCACTGGCGATCTTTCTTGGTTAAGTTGGGAGCAGACAACCTCAAAGGTGTCAAAAATGAGGAGCTCCTCGTCGCTTGCCACAAGTAAGTTGTGCTAAACTTCGGTTTCGTTTCCTTATCGTGGTGTAATTCTTGAAGGGTTTTTCATTTCGGTACTCAACTTCCATAACGCAATCTTTCTTGTTCCAACCCGACTGGAAACCTTATACATAGAGCTATGAATGTAACAGTCTGTTGTGTATTTTGTGCCGTCGTGATTCAAAATCTTTGATCGGGCCGATAATGGTGGTTCCAGTGGTGATATATAAGCAAAGTCTTATCAGATATTTCCTTCTGCAGGTCGGTGTATATCGTGTACACGGTGCTAGGGGATGTTAGTATCTTTGTAGTTGGCAAAGACGAGTACGATGAACTTGCTTGTAAGTTTGTACATGTCATTCTTCTCTTGTTAGATCTTTGGTTCAGACTCTTTGTATCGGTTTTCTGAGATGGATGGTTTTATAACAGTGGCAGAAGTGATCTTTGTCATTACTGGGGCTGTCAAAGACGTATGTGGAAAGCCACCAACCGAGCGTCTGTTTCTTGACAAATACGGGAGAATATGCCTGTGCCTTGATGAAATCGTGTGGAAGGTAAAGACGGAAATCTTTCTTATTCTTGCATTTGCGCAAAATTTCTCGCCTTTTCTTGTCTTGCCACCGTGTAATGTCGTGCTTTTCTGGGTATTTTTTTTACATGCAGGGGCTTCTGGAGAACACGGACAAAGACAGAATCAAACGACTCATAAGGTTGAAACCTCCGACTGAGTTTTAGTCTGGCAGTTCATCTTGTCGAAGCAGAGATTCTTCTACTGATAGTTTTCCAGATCTCCAATTGAGTTGCAACATCTCTTATTTCCGGTTCACTGGTGAACTTCATATCGACTATTTTCGAGTAAAACTTATTTGTTGTTTGATCAAAGAAAGCCATTGTGTCTCAATGTTTCTTCAACCTTCGATTCTCTTGTTCATTGGATGTATCAGTGTTTATGCTATGAACCTGAAAACAGAGCAATGGAAGAATATTCTCGTAAATGTGTGACTGATGCAATTGTACAAATTATGTATTGTAATTAGAACCTACAAGGGAAAAGACAAACAAGTTGGTTAACAGGGACCAAAATTGTACAGAGTAAGACAAGTTTACCCAAGATTGATATCAACATTTTTGGGCTTAATTGACCCGAAGAGAAATATGGGCCTAATAATAGAAAACAGTAAGACTTACGGGGTCATATTTTAATAAACAAGAATATCAGTTAAAGGCCTATATTCGCACACGAACAGCAATCTGACGGACCCGTGGTTTAGGCGTTTAGCCCACAGAGGTATATAGAATGGACCGGAAACTCTGAGAAACCTACAACCTTAAACCTCCGCGGCTTCAACTGTTCCGTAGTCGTGGGATCTCCTCCTCCGTCTCCGACGTTACCCTCTTGCTAATCCGATTCTTCTCTGGGGTTTTCAGGCTTCTCAGTCGGAAAATTTATGTCCTTTCCTCCATTGCTACGCCGTTAGGATCAATAGCTAACGAGGTGAAGATTGGCTGCGCATAAATATGTACAGTATTGATGGGTATTTTGAATTGGTTACTGTTGATTCGTGTTGGGCTTTGATTATTTTCTGCTGAGGAATCTTCGAAGTACGTGGATTCTGCACTTTCTTTGCCTGTTCACTGTCGTGAGGATACCCAGAATCTGTTTGTGAAAATTCCTCTTAGAAGCTGGTCTTGATGTTATTGGCTTTCTCGTTGTCTATGGTCTGAGAGCGATTTCCAGCGACAGATCGATCTGAAGGTGTTACATTTCGAAGAAGTTTGGTGTGGTTGATGGGTAGTGAAGATTTCGAGAAACCATCCTATTTAGTCTCGTTTTCACCTAAGGGGCATGTTTAGATTCAAGGCAGGACCTGGATCATGCTTTCTCTGCGACCCATTCGCAGACTCTGCCATTCTGCCTCCGCAGCCACTGGCATTGCTTCTATACCTGAATTGAATCAGATTCAGCCTGCCCTTGTCAAGCTCAAAGCCGAGCGAGACCCAGAGAAGCTATACGAGCTCTTCAAAGCTAACGCCACAAACCGTTTGGTTGTTGAGAATCGGTTTGCTTTCGAAGATACGGTTTCTAGATTAGCAGGGGCATGTCGGTTTGATTATATCGAGGATCTGCTTGAGCATCAGAAGACTCTTCCTCAAGGTAGGCGTGAGGGTTTCATTGTTAGGATTATCATGCTGTATGGAAAGGCTGGAATGACCAAGCATGCCCTTGATACTTTCTACAATATGCATTTGTATGGTTGCAAGAGGACCGTTAAGTCCTTCAATGCGACCCTTAAGGTTTTGACATTGAACCCTGATCCGGTCACCATCCAGGAGTTCCTTCATGATGTTCCGTGGAAGTATGGGGTTCAACTTGATACGTTTTCTTTTAATATCGTCATCAAAGCTTTCTGTGAGATGGGAGTTCTTGACAAGGCATACTTGATTATGATAGAGATGGAAAAATCAGGTTTGTTACCAGATGTGGTTACGTATACAACCCTTATGTCAGCATTTTACAAGCACAATCGGTATATGATTGGAAATGGACTGTGGAACCTTATGATCCTCAAAGGAGTTACGCCTAATCTCACTAGCTTTAACGTTAGGATTCAATTTTTAGTGAATAGGAGACGAGCATGGGAAGCAAATGATCTGTTGATGTTAATGCCGAAACTTCAGATAGTCCCTGACGAGGTAACATATAATTTGGTTATCAAGGGGTTTTGTCTTGCTGGATTCCCTGAAATGGCCAAAAGGGTGTATTCAGCCATGCGTGGGAAAGGGTACAAACCCAATGTGAAGATCTATCAGACCATGATACACTATCTTTGTAAAGGAGGGGAGTTTGATTTGGCATATACGATGTGTAAGGATTGTATGGGAAAGAAGTGGTACCCGAACATGGACACTGTTCGGACATTGCTTGAGGGGCTTGTGAAAATGGGGCGATGCGACAAGGCTACGTTAATCATGTCTTTAGTTCGCAAACGAGTGCCTCCTATCAGCTCAAAGCAGTTGATGTCCCTGCAATCGGTTCTGTCTAGGGATTAATCATTTAATGGAAAAGGAAAAGATCTCTTTTTTGTTTACAGAACAGGGCGTCTTAAGGATTCTTTGTACCAAGCTTCTTTCGTAAACACGTGGCGAAAACAAGGAAACGAGGTTTCTTAGAGCACCAGCTGAAGGCATATTCGTTTGTTATCTGTTCTTCCATGCCAATAAAGCCCACCAGTAAGCCCTTAATCTGTTTCACACTCTTTTGTCTCATCTCTGTTATCTGAATGCATCGATTAGATTTTCATGTTTCCTACTAAATTATGCTCGAAATGAGATTCGGGTCATTTTCTTTTCGTTCTGCTAATCTCCAAAGCCATTTGTTCTCTGTTGATTTTTCAGCACAATAGCAGAATGGTGTATACAATGTCCCCGACTAATGCCGGAATCCGCCTGTAAGAACCTTGAACTTCGGCTTTCAACCGTTCTGGCCAACCGTAAGCATTATCTTAAAGAAACTTTCTCTTCGTTTCCACTTGGGAGATCGATGTTCAGGGCTTGTCCTGCAACAGCACGGCTAAGGCCATGCGAAAGAGCGGAGACCAGAGATCTCCGATTGGATTTGTGATCGATTTCGATTCAAAACCCATTTGTGGAACACTGAAAGTTTCCGCCTTTTGTCGCAGTTCCTGAAGAGGGGTTGGGGCTTCAACAATGTGTAGAGCTTGTGATTAGGTCGCGTGGCTCTTAAGGCACTTGTGAGAGAGATTGAGTGTCTCGAGATTGAGAGAAGTGCGGAAAAAAAATTAAGTCACCAGAAATGTGTGGTCTGAAAGCGACTGTTACTTGTCGAAATTTGTTACGTAATTGTTTAACGAAAATTTTGCCCAATGAGTTTGGAATTCAATTTACTGATTTCAATTTATAAGTTTTAAGAGTCATATCTGTTTATTTTTCCGTATTTTAATGTGACCTTTATGTTTTTCTATTGGCATGGAATTATCCATTGAATTATTGATCTAAAAGCTGACGATGATAGATTAAAATTCTACAAATTGCTTTGATGTGATCACTACTGAAGTTGATAAGATAATCTATAACCTTCTTTTTTTTTTATAAAAAATAATTTAAACATCTTTACACACACACACACATATATGTATATATATAATTTGTCTACGTGAAAAGATGGAGCAGGTAATGTACAACTTGAATTTGGGTTAAGCCTAATCAGCATTAACTAGGACAAAACCCATGAATGATCTTTGATTATGGAGCTCATTATCCTTTACGACTGATTTATTATTAAATTAATAATTTTTTCTCCAAAATATGATATGTTATCTCTGCTTATTTTAAATAAATAAAAGAAATTGGATCCTATGGCCGATTGTTCAATCTCAACTTTTCCCTTTTAACCAAATTTTGTCACGTCGATGAATCTTAAATCATGTCTTGTAGGGTTCAATTAAATAAAAATCAGATAAAGTTCCCGGAAAATCGAATAAAAAACCCTAAAATTTTAAAATTTTACAGATTCATACATAATTTTTTTTGTAAAAAAACCCTTCGACTACTAAATTTTATCAAAAATATCTAAAATCTTAAATTTTGACTGAAAATCCATACGTACTGAGCCTACGAATGTACTCATATGAATTGCAAACGTGATTACGTAGCATTTGATCGTGTTTATTTATATGACAAGTTCACACTTGACTATACCCGTTATGTCATTTACCACGTAATTTAAAAACTAAAATATTTAAAATTAATAAATAAAGAATGACATATACATACATACATACATACATTGCATACATATATATATATATATATATAGCCTGACAAGATTTTTGAAAATATTCAAGATCTTCAAATTTAAATATCTAATCATATTATATAATCTCTTTTCACGTTTTTTAGTCATTGCAGGTCTTATATTTTTTAGTACAGACAAAAGTTTTTCATTTAACATTTTAACTTCATGTGTTTAAAGGGTTTTAAATTTTTTTCATATATATATATATATATAGCTGTGCAGCACTAGAAGAATTTTGGTTACAAAAATGGACAGATAGAAGTGTATAGTTAATGTGTGCCACGCATTTCCCAATTGCATCGTCCCTACTTCCATTATATATTGCAATGAATATTCATCCTAATAAAGGTCACCCTTACATATACATACATATATATATATATATATATAATAATTACAATCCACCTAATGCTCCTTTCTCTAGACAGGACGTGACATATTGTACGTTTTATTATTGGCTACTAGTGGTGAAAAAACTAATCTTGATTAAAAATTTAATTAACAGAGATTATAGAATCGATTGAATTATATATTTGGATATGAAAATTCATGCGAATAACGGCGGTTCATACCGTAAAATTGTTTTCTACTGTTACTAACTGATAAATTATTGCACTCTCTGAAGACATCTTTTCACAATTCACCTAACGCATTTAAAACCTCTGAAAATATCAATGTTGTTGCGATCATTAATCATAAAGTCCATCTATGTTTTCATCAGAATTAACATGCATTAAACACGTTTTATAAAGATAATTTCATAATTTCCTAAACAATATACAACAATTTAAACTAAGTGACATTCGGATTTTTCAGGTGCTCATAACAAGTCGGAGAAGCATAGCATGCAACCCAAATTTGGTTAGTTCAACCGGTGAAGCACCCTTAAATGTTTATTCCATTCTGAGTTCGAACCTCAGATTTAGATAAGAGAAACGTATATTTCAAATCACATGGTTGATCCTTTTCCCCAAGATTAATCTGTGGCGTGATCCAAAATACTCGGATATCAAGCAAAAAAAAGTTCCGAGAAGCACGCATTCACATCCCAAATAACCCGGCCCGAGTGCATACGAACATCTGAACATGTACAAGTCCGATCACGCATGTACGCTCGAACAAAACCATTTTACGGTACGTATATTTGAACACATTCGGTTACTTGGTCCGATTTTTGAACTATCTATGGTGATTTCCGCCATGCCCAAACGCTTTAACATGTTCCTCAAACTCCTCCGTATATTCTGTAACACGTTTTTCTTTCATTAGGGTCTTAAATATTTAAATTTCCATATACAAGAAATTATCAAATTGGACTAGTTTCATGAATACGCCAATATATAGATGCTATGGATAAACCGTGATACTCGGCGCAAACATATTCTCGATGGATTCAAATAATTATTTTTCTTATTCGATAAGATGGATGTCGCATTCGGCCTTGTTCATGTTTGATTTTGAAACTGTCCAGCATAATTTAACATGTTTTTTTTTTCGTTTTGAATTTGATGACTAGGATCACATGATCTACACGACAAAAGCTGTGACATGGACATGTGTTCTTATCGTGGCCACGGATTTCTTGGAATGCCCTGATATGCATCCCAACGTTTCACCCTTAAGAATTTAAAATTTGATTTTAGCACCTATGTGTTTTGAATTTATATGTATTGAATTTAATTTTATTAAAAAATATTTTTATGACGTTTAAAAAAGGTTAAAATTTTAAATAAAAAATTAAAGATATTTTTTAAATGTATCGGCTATATATAGATATGGTTGTTTAAATTTGAAAAGGAAAAGTCTTAATTTATATCCGAATTCCCAGTTATTACATATGTATTAATCAAATTCAATAGTTCGAATATCTAGTTTTCGCATCCGATTGGTCGGATAATTTTTTGCCGACAACTATGTGTCGCGTCTCATGCATGTACCATGTACCATGTACACATGAAAAAGACAGAAAAAAAGGAAGGAGAATACATATATATATATATATATATATATAATTAAAAAATATTTTTCATTCTTTATCAGACGACAAATATATATATAATTAAAATACACTTAAAATATACCGTAAAGGATACGCAACGTAATGACTATGGGGAGAGAGATAACGAAGAGCAATTCCTCTGAAAATAGAAAACAAAATTCCACAAATGCATTGAAGGATCAAAGACGCCAATGATTCAACAAAGCGATACAAGACTTATCAGTCACGTGCATTAAATGCCACGTACGTACCAACTTGGGGATCCATATTTCGTCATTCTATTTATGGGCCCGTTACAATGAAAAAAAAAAATCAAGAAAATTGAAGATACCAAACAATGAAATAAAAAATAAGCGAAAATCGTCTAAAAAAACACAATTTTTTTTTAAAAAAATTCATATAAATATACAAAATTTGAATTTTTCACAAAAATATTTTAATTTTTAATCGGATTCAATGACACATCATTACCACGTAGGAAACAAAATACCGTTTTATCTTATTAAGGTGGAAAAATTTTCAATTAAAAAGATAAAAATTAAAATATAATTTATATCTATATTTATATAAAATAAAAAATAAAATACGTATATATAATCGGACCTAAAAATAATTGTAAATAGGGGCAATAAATTTGTTATTCTGTATTTGTTATGGGGCATTATATGATTATATTTCAGATTTTACAAAATTAGTGAAGAAAGAAAAAAAAATAGCTGTATAAAGAGAGGCCTATGCCTCATTACGATACAAATAGGTCCGTTACTTCATATATATATATATATATGGGAAAAACCTCTAAAAATTTTTGAACTTTGCAAGTGTGAGAAAAAAATTTCTGAACTTGCGATGGTGCCAAATAATTCCTGAACTTGCAAAAAGTGTCTCAATAAATCTTAATCTTGTTAAAAAATTCCAGACGAATATTTGACCAATATTGACTGAAACTCAATCCTATGTGGATTGTGATGTGCGAAACTATGTCAGTTTTTATTTCCACGAGTACAGAAGCTGGTTTTGATAAATCGGGTTTAGGAAATAAACGGGATTGTATTGAATCGAGTTTCATAATGTTAAACCGGATAAAAAACAAACTATAAATCTATTTTTACCCCCAAATCGACTAACCTACCAAAACCTAACTCTTTTCAAACTCTCTCATCGGTATCGGTAAGGTCTTCGACAGTAGAATATTCTTCGAATCCCAGATTTCGGTGCTCCATTTATCTTCGAATCCAAGATTTCGTCGAACATGTCTCATAAAAGATTCGAGGGTTATCAATAAAGACTTTTGCCCTCTCTCCGCTAATGTACCCCATATCTCCATCTTCATTATAATCAGTGCACCCACCGAAATACATATTCACTGTCAACCTGTAAAATCGCGACCGAAGAAGAATACAGCAGAAAAAAAACGCGGTCAAATATCATTGGAAATCTGTCCATGACAAAAAAATTTGCACGCATGTTTGCAGAAATCTTGAAGAGCCCATCACGAAAATACTCACCTCATGGCAACAAACTCGCGGAGCCAGAAGAAGATAGTCACAAAAACGACTTCGCTGCCGACTGAAGAGAGACGACACCGTTGCATGAAGAAGACGAGACTAAGCTGCCCGAAGAGAACGTGACGCTGATGACACCGCTGCATGAAGAAATTATCGGTGATTTCTGAAGAAATCGCCGACGATGGAGGACACCAGGTTTCGCCGAAGATGAGATACGAGGTTTTGGTAAAGGTAAATTTAGGGCCTTTTTATTCACATTTATTGAACCGAGATGTTACTGTTACAAACCGATTCTGAAAAAACCGGTTTTCTAAAATTCGGTTCTGATTACGTGGCAAAAAAACTCCGGCTGGCGTGCCATGTCACCTGCCACGTAAGACATAAAATTATATTTTTATAATCAGTTTTACTGAAAGACTAATATGAAACTTTTTAACAAGATTAGTATTTACTGAGACACTTTTTGCTAGTTTAGGAATTATTTGGCACCTCACAAGTTTAGGAATTTTTTTTCTCGTACTTTGCAAATTCAGGAATTTTTAGGGGATTTTTCTTATATATATATATATAGATATACACACCGTGATGGATCCAAAAAAATTTGACAATGAGAACAATATATATAGTATATAATATAAAAATAATAAAAATATATCAGTAAAATCAATTTATTCAAGTATTGAAGAGGTCGATAATTTAATAGATTATTGATTGAAATTTTACCACTATTTTAAAATGTCAATGATTTTTTTTGATAAAATTGTCTATTATTGTTTTGTCAAATCAAATACAAATTATACAATAATAACAAATTTCTAAATATGATCAAAAGATAAAAAAATTATGAACCAAAAAAATTAAAATTATTTAAAAAATCATAAAATTCTATACCTTTAATATGACTATTTAATGTTTTCATAATAATAATAATAATAAGTATTATGATTGAATATTAGATTTGTGAATATTATTTTAGAGAATTGAGAGAGATAAAATATTAAAAATAGATATAAAATAAAGAGTAAAAAAAGATTGTGTATAACCTAATTTTTTAGAAAAAAAACAGAACAATACAAAATATATTATGAAGTTTAATTATATAAAAAAGTATGAGATCTTATTGTTTCGAAAATTCTGATATGTAAAGATTATAGGAGGAGGGGGCCGACATATAAACTAACCGGGGGGCCTTTTATATTTTTTGTTAAAATTTTAACAAAATTATAAATAACTAAAAAAATTTACTCAAAGGGAGGGGGCACAGGATCCCGTTTTAATACACGTAGATCCGTCCGGGTATATATACAAATATATATATATATATGTATATAAATAATAATAGTAATAATATATACATGTACTTATATATATATACATAAATATGTTTAGAAAATTCATATATTTTGTAAAAATTTCAACATGTATTTATAGAGAAGTTTTTTGAAAATTGATAATTTTAATTTTTATAGACAATTTGATGTAAAAATAATAATAAACAAAGTATAGGGCTCAATTTGGTCCGATACGGACGACGTAAGAGAGAGAGAGAATATTTGAGGTTTGGTTTAAGCTGACGTGTCAAATAAACAAACTATTAAATTAGGAGATGCGATTATCCGAGTCAGCTTGTGTCTTCTTACGTGTCGGAGTCATCCTCAACCGCCAAAAAACACACTGCTCATTTAAGCGACACTTCCTCCTCTGCATGTAACCGTCCCGATTTTCGTTTCCACGAATTTAATTTTAAGCTATTATTATTATTATTATTATTATTATTATTATTATTATAAGAGAATATAGTAAAAAAATATGAAAATTTCTATGTAAATTCATAAAAACACTAAATTCAATCGATCTTTTTACAGTTATATGTTAAAAAAAAATTAAAATTTATATATTTTTATATTGCGTATACGAATTTTTTAAAATTTATTTTTTATACAAAATTAAAAATTCATATATTTATTTATTAAATTTAGAAAGATTATATTTTTGTTATCGATACTCTTTTTTTAATTATTATTATTATTATTATTATTATTATTAAACTAAACCCAAGTAACTATATATGCATGTTGTTTGAATTGTTAATTGAAGAAGACTTATCTTGATGCGCGAATAGATAAAAACAAAAAAAAAGGTTTTTTTTTGTTAAAAAAGGTATTTTCTCCCGTATAGGCCATCAAATCTGGGGAAGTTAGTTTTGCCATACATATAATTTTGTCATACATATCTCAGTAAAATTTTCTTTTTTGATATCAGGTTCGTTTTCCGGACCTTCAATCCGACTATATCCACCCTAGGCCCGAGACCAGCCTTTATATATAGATCATTTTGATTCAGAAATTACATCCCTCTCCACCAGTGGAATCGAACCCATGATTTTGATGATAACTTTGTCACCTCTCAACCACTGGACCAACTGTTGGATCATATATCTGAAAATTACCTTTGAATAAAAACAGATTAGATTAGGTTGCTTCGAATCCATCTTACAACACTTAAAACACGTTTACGGAAACAAAATCTATTTTTTTCCTAACAAGTGATTAGCTGGAATAATTTAAAAAAAATGTAACAATTACATGAAAGAAAAAAGATTAGGCAATGGAAGGTTCGCAGAAATTGCACGTGACATGACCCTTCGTAATGTTACGGCTATTTTACGGAAAATGGTTGTATATATACATGTATATAATTAAGAAATACATTTGGCCAGAAGCACAAAATTGAGAAAAAATGATGAGCCCATCAACTAAAAATATCTTTTTTAAGGAAAAAATAAATTGGGATTGACATCCTTCGTTTTCTATATATAACCCTCCATCCATTGCTTATGTGTATCTTCCGTGGTCATCCATACTACTCCCCTGGCCTTTATCTACACGTATCCACGTGTTTGTGTGTGCGCGCGTGCGTATATATATACGTAACCCACCCTCTCTATAATTCCGCACTAATTTCTTCAAATCCATTTGAGTGTTTTCATTTGATTATTTTTCTTGATTCATTACCCTCGGGACCTTCGGTTCTCAAAGAGAGCGTTTCGTCCCAATTTTCCTGGGAAAGTCTGAGTCGGGGGAATTTTTCTCGGGAAAACGAAGGAAACCGTACGTCATGGAAAACCCTCTTCATCTCAAGTCGCTGAACCACATCTCTCTGCTTTGTCGGTCCGTGGAGGAATCGATGAACTTTTACCAGAACGTGTTAGGGTTCATCCCCATCCGGAGGCCTGGCTCTTTCGATTTCGACGGTGCATGGTAATTAATATCCAAACATCGGATTCATTTAATTCCAATTTTTTTATATCATACCCGTTTTCTCGTTTTGTTTTTTTGCCATTTCGATAAAAACGATGAATTTTCGCGTAGGTTGTTCGGACATGGAATCGGAATTCATCTTCTGCGATCCCCGGAGCCAGAGAAAATGCCGAAGAAAGAAGAGATTAACCCCAAGGACAATCACGTGTCTTTCCAGGTAATTTTCATTTGTTTTCAATTTGACCCCGTACTTTTGAGATCTATTCATACACGGCCCCTATGTTTATCAACATGGACATAAAATAAAAGTTTGTGCAAATTTGAGCCCATATGCCGAAATTGATAGTTATGATCTTGACATCCGAATCCTTTTTTTCATGAATCGTATGAAAACACTATGTCGATTAATATGGAAAAGAAGTTGTCACAAAATCCACTTTTTCATTAAAATCTTGGAGAATTTCTAGATGGAAGACGTTCATTTCTATGCTTGTAAGTAAACTCATGTGTTTTGTGAGGGCAAGAAATTAAGAGAGAGAAAATGATATAGAGGACAAGAAGTAAAAGTAGAGAGAGAGAGAGGGAACAGACCACATTTACAAAGGAGAAAGAGGACAAAGAAGGCGAGGCTTTCAACACGAGAGAGAGAGAGAGAGAGGGAGGGCCCGGTTATGGTAAGAAACCGAATTGTTGATCCAATGACGACAAGAGGAAACCACGAACACCATAGGTTAAAAAGAAATAGAATGCAAAAGTAGTTGCGCATAATAAAGAATCCGACAGTGTTTCCCCTTTATTGCTTAATAATTCCTGACCCATATATGTAATTGTGATGTAACATATCACTTCATTTGACGAGACGAGCCAATAGTACGTAACATATCATAACCACACAACCATTTTACGAGCACAGTGCGAGTGCATGGAAGCAGTGGAGAAGAAGCTGAAGGATATGAAGATAAGGTACGTGAGGGCGGTGGTGGAGGAAGGAGGAATACAAGTGGACCAGCTCTTCTTCCATGACCCGGACGGCTTCATGATCGAGATCTGCAACTGCGAATGCCTGCCGGTGATCCCTCTCGTCGGCGAGATGGCCCGTTCGTGCTCCCGACTCAACCTCCACCAGGTCGCCACCCAACCCTCCCAGCCTCAACCCATCCAGCCTTAACGTAACGTGCGTGCGTACGTACCTACTACCTTCTCGGGTCGAGAGCGCCCCTCTATCTATATATATGTATGCATGCGTATATGACCGACGTGCCCATGAAGGAGAAGAAGAATAAAGCGAGACGTTGGTCTTTTTGGGCGGTGTTATTTTAATTAATTGCTACAAATATGTGGCATGTTGTTTTATAATATATATATATATATGTGTGACATGATGTTGTTGTTGTATTATTAATTGAGTCTTGCGTTTGTATTGGCGGTGTTGCATTCGGCTTTTGTTTTGTTGTACTTGTGGGGTGGGATGTGATTCCTCTCATTGGAAAGTGATCATTCGCTTCGCTCCCTCTACTGTTTTTTCGTTTACTTTGTATAGCATATGATATTATAAAATTAATAATGGGCAAGTACTCAAATGTCGGTTTACGGTATCAAATTACATGATTACATGGTTATGCTATTGTTTGGCATATGACTAAACCGGCGGTTTGGTTAGGATCCCAATTAATGATTAGGAGGCCGGCTCATTTAAGACTTGTCGGTGGGTACGAGATATGCTTTTGTGGTCCAACCAAACTGATTTTAGTTCCCATTTTCCTCGTTATTAAATTAAATTAGCATTATTAAAAGCGAATAACGCTAACATATTTTTTTCTTACAAACGGAATCGGTAAATAATATCACAAGGTATACTATCATGATTGATATATAGCCTCATATGTAAAATAAATAACTAGCAATGCAATAATACAAAATGAATTCAAGGAATTAATATATAATAAGGTAGATAACACCAATATAGATGGATATAACATCAAAGACCTCTGGCCATCGTTTTCTCGTAGTTCTCCATGGACTCGAGGCGCTGAAGAAGAAGCTGCTGCCGGAATTTTCTGATGAAAGCTTCGGCACATTCGTCCACGTCCATCGACGGTTTGCTCTCGAGCTTCCTCGCGGTTGTTTTCTCCGCGGATTTTCCGAACATCACCGGCGATCTTGCCTTCTCCGTGACAGTGTTGCGAAGAGGAAGTTGCAAGGACTTGATCTTCTTCACGTTTTGGTTGTTGTTGCTGTTCATTTTGGGATTTGTAATGGCAACTTAGGGCTTCTTTTTTTTTTTCCCTAGGAATATTTTTTTGTTGGATGGTGAATATATGATATGCTTGGATTTGGTTTATTGCGAGAATGGTCAGACATTTTTTTTCTTCGTATTTTTATAATCTTCTTCCACTTTTTTTTCTCTCCACGGAAAGCATCTTTGAAGGAATAATGTATAAGAGAGACATGATCCACAAATTAAGCCCGGTTACAAATTACGATTTGGGTTCATCCGTGTATAAATTAATAAGACTTATGTTAGATATATATATATATATATTCTCCTTTAAATTAACGTATAGATTCAGGTTTAAAGCATCTTTTAAAGCAAATTCCCGTATCAAATCTAAGAAGCTAAGAAATATATAGAGAATCTTTGCCTAACTACATTGAATTTGATATTTCAATATCAAAAGATAATTTAAGGAGCGAAAGAATTGAATGGGAGGCATGCTAAGTTTGACTTTAGGAGAAGAAATTTTAAGGCCTAACAAAAGAAAATATAAATTTTAAAATGTGGTTTCTCTCGAACTCGACTCAAAGATTTGCGGCTTAAGCATTGGAACTTTGCTGCCGAAAGTCACCGTCCGTCCGTCGCGGCCATTGTCGCCCGTCCACGTAACTCTTCTTGCCGAGTGGATCAATTATCACCTATATATATTGTAAAAGCAAGAGTATATTCAGCATCTAGAAGATATACAATGACAAATGGAAGTTTGGAGCTGAATTTGGAAAGCTAGCAAAAGCCGAGGAGAGAAAAGGAAAGAAGCCATTTGCATGAATCAAGAAAAGAAGGAAAGATACATATTTGGAAAAGATTGAAAAAAGGAACTTGAAGAGTATATATGGAGGCAAGTCTTCATCGGAGAAGGCACCGAGATTAATTGCTATTAAGAGAGAATTGTGTGAGTGATCTTGGGAGGATTGGTTGTAAGGGAAACACTGGTGAGAGTCATCTGAGAGTACGTGAGGTACATCTAAGGGGGAGCCTTGAACAACAGGCATACCACTTACTGGGCTTAGACGCAGTCTAAGGAGACACGTGGTGTGTGTTGCACACATAGTGTCTGTGACTGATAGAATTACAGGGAGATACGGGAGTTTTGCTCAGGGGGAGTAAAACTAGGTGAGTTAAGTACTACTTGGAAAGGTTGAAGTGTACTTTTCACGTATCAAGTAATAGAATCAGTTTTGGGAATTCTCGTTTGACAATATTGTGTGTGAGTATACTTTTTCAATTGGTATCAGAGCTAGGTCACCGATCGTAGGAAATATTTCCTCTCATATCGGTGTACGATTCAGATACACACGATGGAAGGGTTGAAGGAGTTTGGAAAAACCGCCTTGCTTGACTCAACCAACTATGGTCATTGGAAAGTCAAGATAAGTTCTTATATTCGTGGGCTAGATGAAGACACTTGGAGTGCAATTACTGATGGATGGATTCGACCTACTGACGTCATTGATGGAGTTATTAAACAAAAACCGAAAAGCTCGTGGACTGCGCAGGAAAAGAAGGATTCAGCTATGAATCAAAAGGCTCTGTCAATCATTTTCAGCAGTGTGTGTCATGAAGAGTTTGAACAAATTCAAGGGTGTGAGACGGCTAAAGATGCATGGGACACATTGGAGCTTATCCATGAAGGAACTTCCAAAGTGAAAAGGAACAGATTGGATATGATTGATCTTCAATTTGAACGGCTGAGAATGGAAGACGATGAGAGCGTCAAAGAATTCTGTGGAAAGCTGAGTGCGTTGTCAAATGAGGCAAGTGTACTTGGTAGGCGAATCGGTAATGACAAATTGGTGAAGAAACTATTAAATAGTCTGCCAGCAAAGTATCATTCGCAGATTCTGGTATTTGAAGGAGTAAACAATCTGGAGACAGTAACCTTCAAAGAAGCGGTAGGCACCTTTGCTGCACACGAATTGAGACTTCAATTGATGAATGGAGGATCATCTGTTCAAACCAAGAAGGGACAAGGAATTGCTTTACATGTTCCTGAAACAAGAGAAACAATTGCAGAGAACAGAGTATCTGTTAAGAACAAGAAACAATCGGAAGACGAGCTGCATGATGAGATGGCACTAGTCATCAAGAAGTTTAATCGGTTCTTTAAAGGAAGAAAAAGAACAGGACCATCAAGTGATAGAGATGCTGGAAAATGCCTGGAATGCAAGGGTACAGGACACTGGAAGGCTGAATGTCCTAGTATTGCGAAAAGAGAAAGTGTGCTGAAAAATCTCAAGGAGACTCAATGCTTTGAGTGCAAAGGTTATGGTCATACGAAGATGGAATGTATCAAACAGAAGGGAAAATCCTTGATAACACATGAAGCGGATTCCTCAGACGGAGAAAGTGAGAGTGATGAAGATAATTTATCCAACTTTGTAGTCTTTCTCGGAGTTATAGAGGAAGAAAATGAGCAAGATGTGGAAAGTGACAATGAAGAAGTCACTGAGGAAGATCTGTTCATAGAAATGAACAAACTGGTGAGAATGAATAAACAACTGATCTGCGAAAAACAACAACTGGAGATGGATCTCAATAGAACTCAGATACAACTGACAGACGCTAGAGAGAAGCTGGCCAAAAAGGAAGAAGAGGTCTCCCTTATGAAATGTCAGCTGGAAGAAACCAAGAAAAATCTGCATCTGCTTGGTAACGGAACTGGAAAACTGGATCACTTGCTTGGTCTAGGCAGAACCTCTGGTGACCACTCTGGACTGGGTTATCAAGGTAAATCACTATCTAACCTAAAATTTGTGTCTGGAGGAAACTTGAGTCAAGAGATCCCCACAAGAAGAGGTTCTTCTTCAACAATAAATACTAAGCAGTCAAATTGGAGAGGATGGGATAACAGAAACTGTTATCATTGTGGGAAGGAGGGACACCTCAGACGTAATTGTTACTATCTGAGAAGAAACAGAGGAATCCTCAAGTATTCAACATCATCCTATAATCATCCTCCGTGGAATCTCATATGGGTCCGCAAATCAGATTTAATGTGTAATGTGGCTTACACTACTGAGCAAAATTGCGATACTGAAGTCTGGTACTTCGACAATGGATGCTCTAGACACATGACAGGAAATCGAAAACTGTTGAAAAGTTTTGTTGCAACACAAAATGGAGGAAGTGTCACATTCGGTGATGGTAAGCAAGGAAAGATTTTGGGAAAAGGAACACTGGACCATGCTGGATTGCCGAAATTATCTGATGTTAAGGTGGTTCAAGGCTTGAAGGCAAATCTGATCAGTATAAGTCAACTATGTGACAATGGAATGAGGGTGAAATTCACAAAGAATGCTTGCTTTGTCACTGATGTCGAGAATAAGTGTGTTTTAACAGGGAAAAGAAATTCCAACAATTGCTACACTTGGGTCAAGAATCTTAAGGAATCTGCACAACAGCTGAGCTTAATGGCAACGAAAGATGATATGAATCTGTGGCATCAAAGGCTTGGACACATCAACATACGTGCACTTGTCAAATTGTCGAAGTCAGGTGCTGTTCGAGATATGCCAGAATTATCTCACAGTGATAAGTTCGTATGCAAGGCATGTCAACTTGGAAAACAGATTCGAATACGCCACAAGAAAACAGAGCATGTGCATACATCCCAAATCTTGGAGCTCATGCATATGGATCTTATGGGACCTATGCAAACTGAAAGTTTTGGTGGGAAGAAGTATGTTCTCGTATGTGTTGACGATTATTCCAGATTCACTTGGGTACGATTTCTTCGGGAGAAGTCTGAAGCCTGTGTTGCATTTCAACATTTGTGTCTTCAATTGAAGAATGGGAAGGGTACCGTACAAAGGATACGAAGTGATCATGGAAGGGAGTTTGAGAATACAGGATTTCAGCAATTCTGTGACACACATGGTATTGCTCATGAATATTCTGCACCGAAAACTCCACAGCAAAATGGAGTAGTGGAACGCAAGAACAGAACAATTCAGGAAATGGCTCGATCTATGCTGCATGCAAAGGGGATAGCTACCAAGTTCTGGGCTGAAGCCATGAGCACTGCATGCTATCTGATCAATCGTGTTTACCTCAGAACTGGTATGTCTAAGACACCGTATGAAATCTGGAAAGGTCGGTCCCCTCCACTTAAGTTTGTTCACATATTTGGGTGTAAGTGTTATATTCTCAATGATAGAGAATACCTTGGTAAGATGGATGCAAGAAGTGATGAAGGAATCTTTCTTGGCTATGCTCAAAACTCTGCTGCCTATCGAGTTTATAATCTCCGTACCAAAACCGTAATGGAATCAGCAAATGTTGTTTTTGATGAAGACACCACGATGAATCCTGACAACATCACCCTGAATCCAAGTGCTGTTCAGCAAATTCCAGAACAATCTGATTCTGATTCTACCCAGAAAGAGGAATCCGATGAATCTTCGTCGGAGTCTGTTGACATAGATGCAGCGTTGCCAGACTCAACACCTTCTGTACCAGTCCACCGAAATCACTCAGCTAGTGATCTGATTGGTCATCTTAAAGACCCTCGTCGGACTCGAATCAAAGCCAGAGTGAATTATCAAGACTTAGTTCGTTTTGTGTGCTTCAACTCACAGATAGAACCAAAGAAAGTTTGTGAAGCGCTGCTTGATGAATTCTGGGTACGAGCAATGCAAGAAGAGTTGGAACAATTTGTGCGAAATGACGTCTGGTACTTGGTTCCGCGCCCTCAACATACAAATGTGATTGGAACCAAGTGGATTTTCAAGAACAAGACAAATGAACTTGGAGAAATCATCAGGAATAAAGCTCGTCTAGTAGCTCAAGGATATACACAAATCGAGGGAGTTGATTTTGATGAGACTTTTGCACCCGTTGCTCGACTAGAATCCATTCGTTTACTTTTGGGTGTTGCTTGCAGTTTGCACTTCAGACTTTTCCAAATGGACGTCAAAAGTGCTTTTCTCAATGGCGTTCTTCAGGAGGAAGTATATGTTGAACAACCGGTTGGATTTGAAGATCCTCATTTCCCAAATCATGTCTATCGACTGAAGAAAGCACTGTATGGTCTTAAGCAAGCTCCTCGTGCCTGGTAT